TTTGGGAGAATCTACTACAGGGAAACCTACATAGACATTTGCATGCCTGATACCCAGAGATTCGCACGCACAGGTAACTTTCAACAGAAACGCGAAGGATATGTACCAGGAATGTTCGCAGCAGAACAAGTCGTAATAGTCAGAAACCAGAAACCACCCAAATGCCCGTCACCCGCAGGAGGGAGAAATAAATCGTGGTAGAGTCACAAAAGGGAAGTGAACACGCCACGGGAATTAACACCCCACAGCCTCACACAACACGGCAGAGGCTCATTCACATAATGGGGGCCAGAGACACAGTCACAGAAGTGCACGTAGGGCGAGGCGCGGCGGCCCACGCCTGCAATTCCAGCACTTTGGGAGGCCGAGGCAGGCGGATCACTTGATGTCAGGAGTTCCAGACCATTCTGGCGAACGAAGTGAAACCCTGTCTCTACTAAAAATAAAAAAATTAGCCAGACATGGTGGCATACACCTGTAGTCCCAGCTACTCGGGAGGCTGAGACAGGAGAATGGCTTGAACCTGGGAGGCAGAGGTTGCAGTGAGCTGAGACCGCACCACTGCACTCCAGCCTGGGCAACAGAGTGAGTCTCCGTCTCAAAAAAAAAAAAAAAAAAAAAGTCAGGCGCAATGGCTCACGCCTGTAATCCCAGCACTTTGGGAGGCCAAGGAGGGCGGATCACGAGGTCAGGAGTTCGAGCAAGCCTGGCCAACATGGTTAAATCCCGTCTCTACTAAAAAATACAAAAATTAGCTGGGCGTGGTGGCAGATGCCTGTAATCCCAGCTACTCGGGAGGCTGAGGCAAAGAATTGCTTGAACCCAGGAGGCAGAGGTTGCAGTGAGCCGAGATCGTGCCACTGCACTCCAGCCTGGGTGACAGAGCGAGACTCCGTCTCTAAAACAAAAAAAAAGGAAAACTCCAAAACCAAGAGAAAATTAGGAGAGGAAAATAATGTCTTTACTGAACTAATCAGTAAGTTAAAACAGCTAGAACAGTTTACTGAAATCAGAATTACCAACAAATAGGAAAGGCATAAGAAAATCACAAAAATTCAGGCCGTGCACTGTGGCTCACACCTGTAGTCCCAGGTTTGCGGAGGCTGAGCCAGGCGGATCACCTGAAGTTAGGAGTTCGAGACCACCCTGGCCGACATGGCAAAACCCTGTCTCTACTAAAAATACAAAAACAAATTAGCCTGGCATGGTGGTGGGCACCTGTAATCCCAGCTACTTGGGAGGTTGAAGCAGGAGAATTGCTTGAATCTGGGAGGTGGAAGTTGCAGTGAGCCGAGATCACACCACTGCACTCCAGCCTGGGCAACAGATTGAGACTCCGTCTAAGAAAAAAAAATATATATAATACATACACACACACCTGGAAACTCAAAGAGTACATGCATACTAGAAGTTTAACACAAAACATTCAACTCTGAGACATGGTCTGGTTAAGCAGAAGAACTGTGAGACAAAAAGAAAGAATTCCTCAGAAATTCACGAAGGGAAGGACAATCCTCCACACCGGGAAAAATCAGCCGACCTTGGGCTTCATCACAACCCATGCGAGCCAGGAGATGGTGGAATGACAGCTGCAAAGTGTTGGGGAAGAAAACAAATCTAAGAGTATTATACCCAGCCAAGATATCTTTGTATCGTTCAAAGAAAGACCACGGGGAGACGTTCTCAGACACAAAAACACTCAGGAAATACTCGAGTCCTTCTGAAAAAAACGACTGATAATGAAATCTAGCTAATTAAGAGACAGCACAATGAACAAAGACAGAAATGGTCAAAGGACTTTGGTGAGCACTGACTATATTTAAATGTTGAATTGATACTAAATTCTTGTGGGCACTACAGCCGCAATACAGAAGCAAGGGCTAAAAACCTGAACAATATAAAAATAACAGCCTGGGCTACAAAACTCAGGATGAGTCGGGTGGAGGGGATGGAGTGTGGAGTTACGAAAGCCCTCACCTTTCTTTTTATTTTTTTTTGAGACGGAGTCTCGCTCTGTTGCTGGGCTAGAGTATAGTGGCACAATCTCAGCTCACTTTCACCCTCTGCCTCCTGGGTTCCAGCAATTCTCCTGCCTCAGCCTCCTGAGTAGCTGGGATTACAGGCATGCAGCACCACGCCCGGCTAATTTTTGTATTTTTAGTAGAGATGGGGTTTCACCATGTCGGCCAGGCTGGTCTCAAACTCCTGACCTCATGACCCGCCCACCTCGGCCTCCCCACGTGCTGGGATTACAGCTGTGAGCGACCCAGCCCGGTTGCCCTCACCTTTCAGTAACAGAAGCACTTATATTCACTGTTTCTCAGTGAAACATGTCATTAAAAAAAAAAAAAAAGCATGGCCAGCTGCTGTGGCTCAGGCCTATAATCCCAGCATTTAGGGAGGCCAAGACAGGAGGATGGCTTGATCCCAGGGAGGTCAAGGCTGCAGTGATCTGCAATCCTCACCACTGCCTTCAGCCCAGGCAGCAGAGAAGACCCTGTCTCTGAAAAAATTAAAAACAAATCATAATGATCTCAACTTCTTACTATTTTTCAGAGTAACTTTTCTTAACCCTAAAACAAATGTTTGGTAAATAAAAAACCTGCAAGGGTACACCCACGATAGCAGTTTTTTCTACAGCAGCTCAGGCCAGGTTGACAACAAAGCTTTTGGTGGGAGGCGTCTTTTTTTTTTTTTTTTAGATAGAGTTTCGCTCTGTTGCCCAGGCTGGAGTGCAATGGTGCGATCTCGGCTCACTGCAACTTCTGCCTCCTAGGTTCAAGCGATTCTCCTGCCTCAGCCTCCCGAGTAGCTGGGATTACAGGCATGTGACACCATGCTCGGCTAATTGTGTATTTTTAGTATAGACGGGGGTTTCTCCATGTTGGTCAGGCTGGTCTCAAACTCCTGACCTCAGGTGATCCGCCCGCCTTGGCCTCCCAAAGTGCTGGGATTACAGGTGTGAGCCACCGCACCCGGCCCGGTGGGAGGTTGTATTTTTAGCCTAAACCCTCTCTCCCTGTCAAGGGAAAGCATTTAGGAGAAAGCATTGGTCCGTTGTTTTGGGTCGTCTTCAGTTCAGCATGTAGCAACCAAAAGTCATGCAGCAGAAGCATCCCTGAGCCGTCGTTCAAACCAACCAGAAGGAAGTTTCACAAACATTCTGTGCGTGGCTCTCCTCACGCATGCCCCATGGCACTCACCTTCAATCAAACTCAACACCGTCAACCGTCTGCTCCCCCAAAACACGCACAGCTCTTACAGGGCCACATTCGTCTGGGCTACACGTTGTCGGGTGCTCTATTCCTCTAGCTCTGGTAGGGTTCATCCCTCACTGAGCCCAGACCCCGAGGGCACCGTGCAGACAAAGCCCCGTCCTCCAGGCGCTCAATCTCCAGGGCAGCGCTGGCCCCCAGACTTTGCCACAGCGACATCCGAACTATCTAGAAATGTGACTAATGGAAGCTTTTTGTTTTGTTTCCTTATAATGACACTTCCACAGCCACACGTGGCTCATGGCATGTGACTGGACACCACGGTCCTAGAGACCTGCCGCTGAGCGGGGAGTGGGGTGGGGACAGGTAAAGACGCAGACTCCCCTCCTGCCCCACGGAGCACACTCTGCACCTGTCGGCTGCGAGAGACTCCCCGGCGTGCTGCAGTTTAAGGAAGCCTCCGGGTGCTGGTCGTGAGCCCAAGCCCATCTCAGCTGCTCCCCCAAACTCTTCACCCCCTTCCCTAAGCTGAGGCGTGGCCGGGCACCTGAGTCTCACCCCACGCTCCACAGTCTCAGGCCACCCCCTCCAGCCGTGCCACGCTCCCCTCCCTTGGTCCTCATGCAGCCTGCCTGGAGCTGCCCGTAGGAGACGGCCTGCACCCTCTACTCTGCAGCCTCAGATCCCGCTTCCTCCCACCCGCTCTGGCAAAGCTCGTCTCTGGCAGGACCCTTCCCAGGCCCCAGAGCTAACAGGGCCTTCCCACCAAGACTCCATCTCCAAGCCTCGGCTCCCCTCCTCCGCCCAGGACCCAGAGGGGGGGTCTCTGTTGGACGTGTGGGTTCAGCCCCGAGGCGTGGCAGGCAGGTGGGCACAGCGGGGCTCCGTCCACAGCCGCAGGGTCGGCCTCGTCCGCGCGGTTCCAGGGACGCGGGTGGGTGAAGGCCCCGCCTGCTCCTCACTCCCGGCCGAGGTGTCCGCCTCTGCGCATTCCCCCTTCTCCTGGTTCCTGCCTCCGCCTTTCTTTCCCCGGAGCCGTCCACCCCCTCGCCGGGCGCCGGCTTTCAAGCCTCAAACTTCGGGGATCCCCGGGCTGTCTGCCTGGGAGCTCTGTGCGCTGCGGCCTCCCCTCGCCCTGGAACCCCCTCTCCGGCCGCTGTCGTGGGGGGTCCCCTCTTCCGCACGCGAGTCACCTGCGCTCCTTCCTCTCCCCCGGACACGCGGGACCCCTGGCCTCGGGACCGGACCCTGGTCTCCCCTCCCCTCCGATCCACGCGCAGACCCAGCACCTGGGAGCCTGCTCGCCGCGCTCCGCCCCAGGCGCCCCGGAGCTCGCGTCCCCTCCCGCCCCTCCCGCCCCCGCGGCCGAACGCGCACGTGCGGACCCGAGTCCTCCCCGGGTCCCCGCGGAGGCGGCCCCAGGTCGGGAGGGGCACAGCGACCGGCCCAGCCGCGGGCTCCCGCTGCGCGCAGACTGCGGAGAAGGATGGAGACTGCGCCGCGGGGGCCTCGAGCGGAACGGGGGTGCCGGGTGTAACAGGGACGGTGCCGGGTGTAACAGGGACGCCGCCGCACGAGGGCCAGGCCGGGCGGAGAAAGGCGAACCGCGCTCCTCCTCAGCCGCGCGCCCCCGGACCCGGACTCCCACCCTCCCCGGGCCCGCGCCCCCGCCTCTTCCCGACCCCTCCCGGGCCTCGTGCCTCCGAACCCGGACTCCCACCCGCACCCCCTCCCAGCCCCGCGCCCCTCCCCGGACCCACGCCCGCACCCTCCGCCCGCGCTCACCCGCCGGGTGGCCGTACGGGGACTCGGCCGCGCCGTCCTGCAGGCTCGCCAGGATCTCGCCCTTGCCCACGTCGCTGTCGCCCACCAGCAGGAACTTGAGCAGGAAGTCGTAGGCCCGGACCGGGCTGCCCAGCGCGCTCATCGTGCCGGCCCGGCGCCCCAACCCATGCCCGGCCTGCGGGGCTGCGCGCAGAGGCGGCGGCCGGGCCCCGAGAGGCGCCGCGCGGGCCCCGAGTCCTTGCTTGCAGCCGGCCCCGCCCCGCCGCCCAGCGCTGACAGCGCGCAGCCCCGCCCGGCCCCGCCATTGGTGGACCGCAGTTGCTAGGGCGGCTGCGCATTTTCATTGGTGTGGTTGTCCGTCCATCTTACTCTCGTCGCCGCCTCCGGGCTGAAGCCCAACCGCCCCTCCTGGAAGGACGCTGTCGCCGCAGCCAATGGAGGCCCGGAGACGGAGCAGGGGCGGAGCCAGAATAAACAGGAGGCGGGGACTCTGCTCCCGCAGCCAATGGCGAGGCGGGGCGGGGGCGAGTAGGGGGTGGGGCCGAGTGTTTACACTCTCGCGTGCGCCTGTCAGCGCCGCGAACTCGCTCCCACGCCGTCGGGTCTGCACGCCCCGGGTCGGGCGGGGCGTGGGGCCGTGCTGGGTCCCGGCGTGGGGCCTCCCCACCTGCCCACCAGGGAGACCTCCGGTGCCGGGCCGGGTGGGGCTTAGGGGGTCGGTCCAGTTCGCGGACGCGGCCGGAAGGCCCCCCGCAGGCCGCCTCGCCGCAAGAGTCCCTGTCGCCGTAGAATCCAGGCTCGCGGTCTCTCCCCACAGTTCATCCAGGGCCTCGTCCTTGCCCCATTTACGCGGCGTGCCTGAATGCCTGTGTGTGCACATGCGCCTGTGTACGTACGCATGTGTTCGTGTGTGTGCATATCTGCGTGTGCATGTGTGCCTCTGCAGGTGTCTGCACATGTATGTGTCTGCGTGTGCACGTGTGCCTCTGCAGGTGTCTGCACATGTATGTGCATGTGTGCCTTTGCAGGCATCTTTGCATGTGTGTGTCTGCGTGTGCTGCTTCTGTCTATGCATGTGCTCCTATGTGTGTGTGCACTTGCTTGTTTGTGCATCCATGCATGTGTTTGTGTGTGTGCTGGAGAAGATGGGGTGGGACCCCTCCAGCCTTTAGGCTTCTCTTCTGCTCTCAAGAGCAAGGGGTGCCAGGGCGAGGCCTGCCCTTCGCTCTGAGGGTCTCACCAGGTGCACACTGGTTTATTTGGTGCAAAATTCAGGCAGCAGGCAAGCGGCGAACTCCGTCCAACAAGAAGGATAATGCCTCCCCCACTTCATCCCCTCCACCCTGCGTTGTGTAGGGAACTGCTCTAGACCCCATCAGAAGTTTTTTGGGGGGAGGAACAGAAGAAGGAGCAGAAGAAGAATTACAAAAGAGACTGAAGTCAAGATTATTATATTTGTCATTTGCACTCATTTGGACCTGGAAAATGTTTACTTCGGAATGCCAATTTAGTTTGCATCACCTGTTCTTCTTCATTGATTGATTAGTTGCTTTAGTTACTAATGCAGTCACCTTTTTTTTTTTTTTTTTTTTGAGACAGAGTCTTGCTCTGATGCCCAGGCTGGAGTGCAGTGGCGTAATCTTGGCTCACTGCAACTTCCACCTCCTGGGTTCAAGCCTCCCAAGTAGCTGGGATTAGAGGCATGTGCAACCACACCCAGCTAATTTTTGCATTTTTAGTAGAGATGGGATTTCGCCACCTTGGCCAGGCTGGTCTTGAACTCCTGACCTCAAGTGATCCGCCCACCTCGGCCTCCCAAAGTGCTGGAATTACAGCACTATTATTATTTTTTTTTAAAAGGAAGTTCAGAGGAAGAAAAGAGGATGGAAGGTGGACACTAGAAAACCATAAGAAAGATAGCATTTAGTCCCTACCCCCACCACTCTGCCAAAAACTGGAAGAATTCAGGGGAGTTTCCTTCCCATCCCTAACCCTCAGTCTCCATGTTCCAATCAGCAGTGGGTCACATGGCTATTACCTAGTGAGGAAAGGGTACCTTTTTCTGCTCTCTCCCACCCACACATCCAGACTCACTGTACAGTAGGGGTCAGGAGGTCCTCAGCCCACCCTCGGGGTCACACCCAGCAGCCCAGCAGTGTTCACAGGGGGGCATGGAGAGGGGTGGCCAGACCACTTCCTGCAGAGGATCAATGATGGCGGAGCCCCTGCCTGCTCTTCTCCTGCCCCACAGAAGGTCCTCACCACGTCCTGGTTGTCGCCTCCAAGCTGGCCTTGGCTGAGCTGGAACATGGCCACTCCCACCTGGAGGGCCAGGTAAAATAACCACGTCAGAAGAGGGCTGTGTTCAGATATGGGCGTCCATCTTCTTGCCCCAAACATTGCTTTCACCAAACAGAGATGTTTATTTCTAAAGCCAAAGCAGAAGGGTTCCTCCCACCAGGGCCCCCAGCTTCCTGACGGACAGTGCTGTGGTGGGATACCTCTCCCTCCTCCCCAGTTTCAGTACATGTGTAAAGTCCAGGCAGAAGGAGGTGTCTGGATAGCACTGGCCCACCTTCTGCCCAACTCAGAGCCAGGTTTCCAGACCTGTCCATCTCAGATCATCGGAACATTCCTCCCTGTGGCCAGGCTGAAATCTCCTTGAACGTCCACCCGCCCATGACCTGGGGCTGCTCTGGAGGCTAGGCCTCAGTGGGCAGAAGGAACGAAAGGAACATTTACTGATGCTTCTCCACGGGTAAAATGTCATCAGAAGGTGCAGGTGAGGCTGGGTGCGGTGGCTCATGCCTGTAATCCCGGCACTTTGGGAGGCCAAAGCAGGTGGATCACTTGAGGTCAGGAGTTCGAGATCAGCCTGGCCAACGTAGCAAAACCCCATCTCTACTAAAAATACAAAAATTAGCTGAGCATGGTGGCACTAGCCTGTAGTCCCAGCTACTCAGGAGGCTGAGGCAGGAGAATCGCTCGAACCCAGGAGGCAGAGGTTGCAGTGAACCTGTCACACCACTGCACTCCAGCCTGGGCAACAGAGTGAGATGCCATCTAAAACAAAACAAAACAAAAAAAAAAGCGATCCTGTTTAGGCTTGTCTGCAATCACAAGAAAACAGGAGACAAAGGTTTACTATGTATGAAGTGATGGTTGTCTGGGTTGAACGGGGTCTCTAAAAAGATTTATTGAAATCATACCTTCTGGAAGCTGTGACTGTGACCTTCGTTGGAAATACTTTGGTCTTTGCAGATGTAATCAGGTTAGGAGGAGCTCAGTAGGGTAGGCTCTAATGCAACAGGACCATGCAAGGGTCTCAGAGACCTGTGGGGGTCCACGGGGCCCACTGTGAAAGCTGCTGTTCTGAACCATGCCCGTGCTCCTGCCCACCCCTGCCTGCGACCACGCAGGTGTGGCCCACGAGGAGACTCCAGCAGTGAGACGTGAGGGCGTCTGCTGGGGGTTCGCCAACAGGAACCCAGACTCCAAGTCCCCCGTCAGCATCCGGGCACCGTGGGCCCACCGCGAACCTCCTGTCCTGTGACACAGAGCAGCTCCCTGGTGCCACCTCCAGATGGATTTTCTGTTGCTGGAAGTTAAACCAGCCTCAGTAATTCACATAATATCTATTTCAGCATTTTCCCATGGAAGGGGTACAGGGAGGGGGCATTTTTCTTTTTTCTTCTTCCAAATTTAGCTTAAAGGCTAACATGTTTTTCATTTTTAAAATAGTTCCGTCTGCTATGTGCAAACAGTGGAAATGCAACTTGAACTAGCCTAAGCAAGAAGTCGATTTTATGGAAGGATAGGTGGAGTGTCTCCTGACCGGCTGTGCCGTGGGAAAGGCCAGGTGTGGCTGGGCTGGAAGCAGCTGAGCCAGGGACCCAGTGCCGGCGAGGCTGGCCCCCCTTCGTTCCTCCCGCGGTGCCTGCCTGTCTTCCTGTCGCTGCAGAGGGGCTCCCTCCTCACAGGAGAAAACATGGCCCCAGGGTTTCACCCCTTGGAGAGAGAACAGCCTCACTCACTCTCAGGCCTGATCCCCAAATTCCCATGTAAGGGAATTCCCCGGTGGGGACCAGTGCCCACCTTCGGGTGAATCAACCACAGCGGGGGTCTCATCACACTCGGGGCCCTGCATCTCTGCACCTTAGTGCGTCCTCTGAACGCACGGAACTGAAACCCCAGCAGATGACGCAGTTTCCAGCCAGGAGGGCCAGCGGGGGCAGAGGCAAGGAGGTCCCAGCTGGACGAGGCTGGTGGGCGAGGCAGAGGCCGTCGCCAGGCCCCTCTCTGCTCTCCCCTGCACCCGCTGCCCCTGGCACAGTCTCAATTCCCCTCTTCCCTTCAGAAGAAGAGCCCCCTGCCGGTGGTTCTCACGCTGGAGCAGGGCACGGTGGCCACACTCAGAGCCTCCCATCCTGCACTGGGGGCCCAGGAATCCGCATTTCCAACATGGTTACAGATGGTGCTGATGCTACAGCTCCGGGAACCCCACTTTGAGAACTAAGTGGGGAGAGGTCTTTCCAAACACAGCTGCACCAGCGCCCACCCCCAACGGGAGACAGCGCATGCCTTCCGAATGCTCAGAGGGGAAGCCTGCGTCCGCCTCCCAGCCCTGTTGTCTCCAGTCTTCCCCGCGGTGAGGGCCCCGGGCACCGGCTCGTCTGCCTCCCAGCCCTGTGGTCTCCAGTCTTCCCCGCGGTGAGGGCCCCGGGCACTGGCTCCGCCCTTTAGGCACAGCAGGGAGGGTTCAGGGTTGGCTGCTGGCCATGGCTGAGACATAAGAGACCCAGGATGAGTGCTTGGGTGGCTTCTCCATCCACCTGTGAGACCCCTGAGGGCCCACCTCGTTGTCTCACCTGACTCCCACCCAATCCCCACCTCAAACCTGACCCCCATTCAACCCCCACCTCTCACCCTACCTCTCAACCAACCCCCACCCAACCCTCACCTGACCTCTTCACACCCCACCTCTACTGCAGTCTGGCGCAGCCCGTGTCCCCTACTCACACTGGCTGTGCCTCCCTGCAGCGCTGAGCTCATGGCCCTGTTGTGGCTTCTGCTCCTGCCCCATGCGAGGGCACGGCCCACGTCTGCTCTTCTCAGCTGTTTTGCCGAGGACACCAGACGACGTGTTTCTGGAATACTTCATGCCACTTCAGCACCTTGAACAAACCAGGCCCCCGTTTTGCACGTGCGTGGCCCTTCTCACTGGGTCAGCACCCCTGGGTCCTTCAGGACTCCACCCGGGGTGGGGGG